TTATTCTACTTCTTTTACCACCAGAGATCATTCAGTATGGTTTCGTCTTATTCTACTTCTTTTACCACCAGAGATCATTCAGTATGGTTTCGTCTTATTCTACTTTTTTACCACCAGAGATCATTCAGTATGGTTTCGTCTTATTATACTTCTTTTATCACCAGAGATCATTCAGTATGGTTTCGTGTTATTCTACTTGTTTTACCACCAGAGATCATTCATTATGGTTTCATGTTATTCTACTTGTTTTACCACCAGAGATCATTCGGTATGTTTTCGCCCATAGAAAAACTGCCATCTTGAGGTACCTGATATGAAATTACGAAAGGCACGGCTCATTTGCTATACTAGATCAAAAGGGTCATTTATGTAGGTTAAAGTTGAAATTAATCTGATCTTACCGAATACTACTCTTTTATAGAGAATGTATAGTTATAATCAGATTAACAGGAATTCCAAACCTGTATACTTCATGCATATTTGCCGCAGATAGCTCTCGCCTAGCTTTGTGCGAAATCTAACAAACAAACAAATCATATATTTAGGATAACTTTAGATGTTACGCAATTTTATATGTCGATGAAATATAAAACAACCTTTCCTGATCTTCAAATTCTGCTTTCCATGAATTTCCTTTATTGACGTACAGATGATGACTTTTATATAGACAAAGTATTTGATCTAGGTCTATAGTTTTTGTTATATCCTTCCAGTGTATCAAGTTTTGTTTAAATGCAGTTAGTAACTTTTAAATTGCTTGGATTGCATATTTACATTGACGCAAACAGATATCACCATTTCCCACAACAACCTGTAATATAAAGGATTTCCTAGTTTATCAAGTGCTTATACCCATCCATAAGTGGCACTCGGACCTTCTTGTTAGAACGAGTTAGATATAAGACGGGTTATGCAGTAGTTTTTCCCCGGTAAGAAACAACCTTCACCTCTCTATAACTTGTCGTTTCCCTCGACGGTGAAAAAAAACAAACTTGAAGATGTAATTATGAATGGCATAAATGCACAGGATCTCTATGTTCTATATCATTATCAAGCTGCTGGAAGTGACCTTTGTAGTGTAACTTCCAACATTACGAAGTTGGTAACGAGTTTTAAACGAAGATTTAGGACCTTTATCAAGTACGCTTACCACTTTAAAAATCATTTTTTTTTATGCTGTATCTTTTATTTTCATGTCTTATACGTACGATGCCCTAAAAATCATAAACCCGAACCGTTTAGTTTGACGTAAAAATAAATAAATAACATTCTACTAATACTAAACTATTGTCATACTCTTGATTTATCATAATAAGGAACTTTTATTTTTAACTTTCAGTATTTGAGAGTTTTTAATGTATGGAATGAAAACTGAAATTAAATTATTTGTATCTTTACATCATTGAAAAACACTCTTCTATCTAACTACATTCACATGTAGTAACATTAGTTGAGTAGATAAATTATTTACGTGTTTGCTTGTTTTGAGATTGTATAGGATATTCTTGTATAAAAATGCCAAACTGTTGGTTTTGGAGAAAAAAAATATGAATCGTTTCACTTACGAAAATTTCCCCTTTGGACGACTTACGTCATCTGGCAAAAAGTTAGGATCCAGACAGTTCTGCAAGGTATGTATAAAAAACTTCAGACTATAGTCACCAAGAGTACAAATCAGAATAGAATAGCTATTAATGATTTTGAAATACCATATTGACGCCATAATTTCTGTATCAATAAAGCAAAGTCTTGCTTCATAGCACAGTTAACACCACTAGTTTACAAATCATTAGAAAGTATGGTCTTATCTGTCTTAAGAATTTCTTACCGTTTGGAAATGAAGGCTAATACTTTAGAATAGGTGTAACGTCCAACAATTTGTACAAGTTCAAATGTAAACACAAATTATGTAAAAAATAGTTTATTCTCATTCTTCAACTAAGTTGCTGAGAAAATTTAGTAAAAATACACTTTAGCAGCAATATGGTTAAACTTAAAGAGTTCAAGCACAAAAAAAAACAACAAAAAACAAATATTGGTTTTATAGATCCAAAAGACTCCTTTGTTTGAAATTTTGTTATTCACTCTCTCTATTTTTTAATGAATGTGTTAGTCAATCACCAGAAGTAAACTTCTGAATGTATATGTAAGTCAATCACCAGAGTTTAAGATTCTGAATGTATGTGTATGTCATTCACCAGAGTTTAAGGTTCTGAATGTATGTGTATGTCATTCACCAGAGTTTAAGGTTCTGAATGTATGTATAAGTCAATCACCAGAGTTTAAGGTTCTGAATGTATGTATAAGTCAATCACCAGAGTTTAAGATTCTGAATGTATGTGTATGTCATTCACCAGAGTTTAAGGTTCTGAATGTATGTGTATGTCATCCACCAGAGTTTAAGATTCTGAATGTATGTATAAGTCAATCACCAGAGTTTAAGATTCTGAATGTATGTGTATGTCATTCACCAGAGTTTAAGATTCTGAATGTATGTATAAGTCAATCACCAGAGTTTAAGGTTCTGAATGTATGTGTATGTCATTCACCAGAGTTTAAGGTTCTGAATGTATGTATAAGTCAATCACCAGAGTTTAAGATTCTGAATGTATGTGTTTGTCATTCACCAGAGTTTAAGGTTCTGAATGTATGTGTATGTCATTCACCAAAGTTTAAGGTTCTGAATGTATGTGTATGTCATTCACCAGAGTTCAAGGTTCTGGATGTATTAGGTCGTCAAGAAATTAATGTCGCGTTTTGGAACACTTTCATTAACCACCGCCCAAAAAACGTACATCATATATAATAGTTAAACGAATCGCCTAAACGTCACGTTAATGTAGCATATATAATGTGTAAAGTTTAGTATACTCTAATTCCTTATAGTGATGGCAAACGACAAAACACATATTCGGCATGTAATGCTGATTGAATACAAGAAGGGAAACAACGCCTCTGTAGCCACAAACAATATCAAAGAAGTTTATGGAAATGTTTTGAACGTTCGTAAGTGTCAACGATGGTTCAGAAAATTTCGTTCAGGTGACTTTAGCCTTAAAAACTGTGATGGCAGGGGCCGACATGTTGGAATTGATATTGATGCCCTGAAGACGCTTGTTGAGTCTAACCCAATGAAATGGCCCTGAAATTGCATGTCTCTCATGAAACAATACGTAAACATCTGAGAAATATGGAAAAACTCCTTAAAGAAGGTGTTTGGGTGCCTCATGAACTGTCCGATGATCATCGTTTCCAACGTGTGAACGTAACTTCGTCTCTTCTGGTGCGTAATACGCATGAACAATTTTTGGACAGAATTGTCACCGGTGATGAAAAATGGATTCTCTATGTGAATATTAAGCGCCAAAAAACAATGTCTCAGTCCTAGACAAAAACCACTTCCGAACCTAAAACATGGACTCCATCCGAAGAAAGTGATGCTTTGCATTTGGTGGGACATCAAAGGGGTAATTCATTTCGAACTCCTCAATCCACAGCGAACTGTCAATGCAAAGATCTATAATCAGCAACTGGAACGTTTAAATCCAGCCCTTCACTCGTCGATCGGAAAGGTTTTCTTCTTCTCCACGACAATGCACGTCTACATGTGATACGTTTGATGCAACACAATATTATGCAGTTGGGTTGGGAAGTTCTCCCCCACTCACCATATTCTCCAGATATGCCACCATCAGATTACCATCTTTTTCGTTTGCTGCAACACCATCTTAATGGGAAAATGTATGCAAATGTGGAAGGTGTAAAAGAGGACACCAACATATTTTTTGCTTCAAAGCCGAGAGATTTTTTTGATCAGAGCATTAACAACATGGTTGTAAATGGAAAAACATCATGGATAAGAATGGAGACTATTTAATTTAATAAATGTTTTGTTTCGATATATATAATTTTTTCGGGTTTTTTCATCTAAACAAAAACGCGACATTCATTTACTGACGACCTAATATATGTAAGTCAATCACCAGGTTTTAAGGTTCTGTGTGTATTTGTAAATCATTTACCAGAGTTTAAAATTATGAATGTAATTGTAAGTCAATTACCAGAGTTTAAGGTTCTGAATGTATGTTTAAGTCAGTCAGCCGGTGTTTTTTATGATTATGGACTTTATAGAACAGAAGATGATGGTTATTAAAAGAAGCGTACACCTTGATGCTATAAAGTTACATTAAACTTCTATTAAACTTATAGAATTTATCATTTATCTTTAACCAAAAGTATGCGAGAATATCTGTTATTCTGACATTTTCATGAGTATTTAGTTCTTCATGGAAAATATCAGGGTTCATTGAGAAGGACTGTAGTAAACGTCTCTTAGTGAAATTCCCAATTCTATTTTCTTTAGATTTTATTCTGAACTAACTGTTACACTTTGTGAAATACATCTATATGGTCAAGATGTGTTACTTGCAGTGTTTTTCTCAGGTTCTTACAACCAGGTGGCGCTACAAAAGTTACTTATTCGCATAACAAATATCACTAGAGAAAAAAAAATATTAAAAGACTAAAAGCCAGATGTGAAAAAGATAAATAGCCCCAAAAAAGTAGATATACGAGTTTTTAAGTAACCATGTATGCGAGTAAACTCTAAAAACGGCGTGACATGAAAATACAAGTGACCGTAAACAGATTGCATATTGGGTTTAATGAGTCAGTTTCGAAAGAAAAGGTTTTAGTCTGTATAGTTTGTGTAACAGCTTTAAATCAGATAGCAAAATTTAATATATATTACAACTTATATTGAGTAATACTATGTTCTGTTATTCTTCCCATGTTCTCTAAGCATTTGTTTAAATACAGAGGGCTTAATAAATTATATTCAAACGATTTAAAATATGCAAATCAGAAAGTCATGTGACGGTTACAGCCGATATAAAGTCGCGATTGAACGGAATATATCAGTACTATATTTTTACATTGTTTGGTGTAACGTGAGTAGTGTGATGCAACCAAAAATTGATTGTTTTTGGCAAGTGTATATAACAACCTTTCCGATGTAGAATTTCCAAAATGGGGATTTCAATTATACTTATTGGCATTGGAAAACAAAGGAACATTTATTAACTTGAGACACCAGGACCATCCAGAAAGAGACCTGCAACAGGTCGTACCCTGACCATGGTAACCAAAGTTCGATGTCTTTTAACACGTGAGAATCCACGAACTCACACAAAGCTTGGTGGTAAAAGCCGTCTATGTACCCCAGGCAACAGTACGCAATATAATCAAGAATAATCTCTCGCCTAGAAGAGCGACACAAGTCACTTGTATACAAGTTTCATCCACAACATATCCATTTAACATGTTCACTGCTGGGACGCTCATGTGCGTGTTTAGCATTCGTAAGTGTATGATCATGACGCACATGTGCGTCGTAAATAAAGCACGTATACATTACACGTTTTAGATTTGTTATTATTACTACTGTTAAATTGAAATCACAATGCTGTTGCACTAAAATGCTTATCAGCACTTTCATAGATGATGCTAAGCATCGCAGCAGTTAACGTATTAACCATTGCATCTGGAGCATGAAACTGGTGTTGATGCTATTCCATATGAAAACATATCAGTCAAGTCACCAGACACAGTAACTATGGACTTCTGTGCGACTGAAATGTCAAAATGGGCGCTGGAAGGCGGTCTTCCTTGTACAGGAAATGAACTATGGGAAGCTGGCAGGGAGAAGTGTGGAATATTGGACATGACAGTCTTACGAAGAAGCATAGTGCTGTGTAAACTATGCTACAGAATAATTATCAATACGTATAGTCGTCAGATAGAGCATGATCGGACGTGTCGACATGAGCTGTAACTACGTGGTGAAGGTCCAAAATTGTTTTAATATAACGTACTCAAACTCTGTATGTCTAAAATCCAATGGATAATGTTACTTTGCCATTTCTCATGAAATTAAAATATTGTGAAAAAGTTATATATGCTTTTTTGTTTGTTTTTTACAAGTTAACATTTCCGATAATAATAACTTCCGATTTATAAGTATAAAAAATATGAGTGTAGCTTCTTTAAGAAAACTACGAATTTGTAAACTACTTCTGAGATTACTGATAACAATGATCTATCTTTAGAAATTCATGCCTTTTATTATTTGACCTTATTTTTCATCAATGATTAAGTGAATCATTGAAAAAACAACTACTAAAAACAGGAAATGTCATTTTGTTGGCATTCTGCACAAACGAATCTTAATCAGATGTTTTTCACCAATTAAATACTTTCGTTATATTTTACTAATTCATTTCAAGCATCTTTCTAACATAACTCCCACAGTTAAACTGGAAAGGCCTATTTGAAGAACACAAGAACTAAGGACATAAAACGCAAAGTTGATTCTATTTCACGTTCAGCTTAAAAACTTGCAAATTTAATCTAATAGGCTTGAAAAAGAAAGATAAAATCATACGCCTCGTGTCTCGAGTTACAAATTTATATGTAACTTACATTGTAAAATCAAGAGATGTTTTTTTTTCATATATTTATTCAGGTAGTTATCTAGAGTTTTATATTTGTACTAAAGATACTTTGTGTTTTATTCTTATTGGTTGAGAACTAATTACAGGATTCGATTTTTTTTAAGTTTCAAGGCTGTCACACAATTTTCTTAATTAAAAATTAAAGTTTGCCATCCGTAATACACTTCTTAACTCTTTCATCTTCTTCCTCACTGGTTTTCTTGATGTTTTTACAGCTCATTATGGTTTTACAGAATGCCTTCCAGTTTGCGATTATGTTTACCACTTATAATAATAACATAATTGTGTTGCATTATGAAATAGGCAAATAAATGTTGGTTTTGTATAATACAATATCACAACAATGTTAGCAAGAGCGGAAAATATTAGCTCTCGTTTTTATCCTATCCAGCTAAAGTTATAGGAAATCAGTGTGAAATAAAATAACTCCAGTTGATGTTTAGCAAATTACAGAATATACTTGCTCAGCTTCTCAGGGAAAACATTAACTATACTGAACTATGTATACACTCAGGCATTCTTCAAAAAAGAAAAAAAAAGAGAAATACTGTTAATTTACATTATCCGAGAGCACTAATTAGTACCGAGCAACTAAAAAAAAATATTTTTTTGAAAGTAATCACTATTATAATTATAAGATTTGTTAAAAAAATTGCATTACGTGTATGTGAACTTTAGAAACAAGAAAAATAATAATATTAATTACAGCTAGCGTCCTCATAGCTAATGCAACTGAAGTAAATCGATGCATCAAAAAATTACTAAGAATTTAAAATTACATGAAACTTACTTGATATATAAGGTAACATATTCAATATCATGGTAAAGAAACGTTCAAAATGTTTTTTATGCGCAAACTTCTACCAGTTGGTTCTGTAGCTCTTTTGATTTATATCAAAACATTCTTTGTCTAGAATTGCACGTAGAATTGTTTAATTACATTACTTGAATGCATATATAATATTCATAAGTGTATTTCGAGAACGTCATACAAATAAACCCCAAAGACTGTAGCTTAGAAAGAAACATCCCATTTTTAGACAAATAATTTCAGTTGTTGTAGTTATCAAAATGGGCAAAGTGTGCCTGATTATATATATATATATATATATATTAAAACATCAGTAGTATTTGTTGTTATTTGTTTGATATTTTACTGTATTAAAACCACTATGAATATTAATTTTCATTATACTTTTGTTTCCATTTGAATTTTTTTTCCATTTTATGTCTACAGCTTAGTTTCTCATGCACGTGCTGAGAAAGAATAAACTTCTTGCTGGTTACTTTTTCTCAACTGTTGCTTTAGTATTCTCAATGTCACCAACTTGAAACAGGTAAGTCCATATTATTATTGCTTTATCTGTTTGTCTGATATAATAAAGTTACTGATTTTATTTTTTAACTTCTGAAAATTCATGAAAAGTCAGTATTTTAAACTTAAATGATTATAGTTAATATTTATTGTAATATTGCAGTTTTAACAATGATGAGAAACAGCGTTAGAAAGGGGGTGTTTCACCCCTCCTCCATGGCTCGGCGGTAAGCTTGAGGTCTTATAACCCCAAGAGGAAAGAACATAGAAACCTGAAATTTTTCACCCATACTAAATGGATCCTGAATCTTTGCACCTGGGTTTTATTACTTATCTCTGTGCGTGCGCGTGTGCGCCTGTTTATGCGAAAAACCATCTAGAAAACTAATGTGACCGCCATAGATCCAAGAGGAAAGAACCTAGAAACCGGACATTTTGCACACATACTAAGTGGACCTTGAGGGTGTGCATCTGGGTATTATTACTTATCTTATCCACGTGTTAATCCATATCGGAAGTCAAAATCTCCATTAGCGCTTTAGATATAAAGAGGATCATTTCAGCTGTAAATACAAAGCTTAGGAAGAAACATAATAACACATTGTAACGTTTTATTTTTCAAATTATGACACAGGTGAATGCACGAAAAGCACATCTTTCAAAAGAAAAACGTATAGTGATCGGGTGTTTTCGATTATAGGATTATAAGGGTTATGATTACACTGTAGTTTTTATTACTTCCAGGCCAAATTGAAAACAAAACACGAAAGACACTGTTGTTTTTTAAAAGTATATTTTTAGTCAACCAAATATTTTTGGTATCTCCAACTTGAACGCCACCTTATACAACACATGGGCTAAACGGCCAAGTAAGAAATCCTATGATTAATACATCTCTAATTTAGAACTACTGATCAAAAACAGGTCAACCAGTGAGCTGCACATGCTACTTACACGGCTACTCTTAATCGAATAGCGCGGTTGACTACCATGGGTTGTAACACCTACACCCCTCCACATACACATATCTGAAAGTGTACAGTGTATGTATTAAGTGGCATATCGCGGTTCGAAATATTGACCTTCCGTATAGCAAGTCATCCTGTAGGCCACGCCCGGTATAGATAATCAATTGTCCATTTTTACGCCATAAATACGTTTTGATCAGTGAGACAAATCAGTAATTTTAAAATTATTATAATTAAAGAGTTTTGTTGTGGTGTAAACATGGTGTTAACATGTCCGCCACACCCAATGCCGACGACGCGTTTCACTTAATACCAGAGCTTGCTCAGAAGGCCGGTTGGGATACAACAAACACAGTAGTGCTCGGAATGCTGTTTATATAGATAGTGCGGTTGAAATATTGTTATACACTTTTTCTAATAGAAACCTTATGGACGTAAAAAAAATGTAGTGTTTAAAAATACAAGCCTAATACTATTGTCCCATGGCAAATATAATTTGTTATGAGATATTATATATATTCATTCATTACTGTTAGAATTTGATTGTTTCAATGCAAGTGTAAGCTAACTTGCAGTATTTATTTTTAAACCAAAATTAGTTAGTTATTAGCTGTTTTCTGTTGATTTTTTTCAGGTTATCTACCACTTCGTGTTTCTGAATACGTTTTGATCTGTCGTATTTTGCTGATCAATCACAAAATATTGAACAAAAGACATGAAACATAACGAGACAGAAACGACCAGTGATGGATAGTATCCAATACAGTCGTAAAAGCGCCTTTATGTCGGTTTTTTATTGTATTTTATACGAAAAGATCACCCAGAGTAATTTCTCAGTGTAGCCCTAAAGAAGACTTTCTCCTTTGTACGTTAATAAAGGTATGTTAATAAAGATGTTTTACAAATCCGTTTCTGTGCAATAGTGCCCAACGCAGTCTTAAAAGTAAAGTATACTTTGCCATCACGACGTTTCTATTGTAAGTTTAAATACTGTGTTAACTCGTATCCAAAACTGGAAGTCTTTACTGATTTTTTGTTTTATGATAAAAAGTTACCTAAAAGTGCCCTCTGAAATCTCCAAAATGAAATCGGAAGCTGCCCTTTCGAACTTTCCTTGTAATAAAAATCGATCAATGTTTTGACTGGTGTTCCAAAATGCCAAGCGCAATCTTAGAATAAAATCGTAAAGTTACTTTTATGGGTTAATTATCATATGAAATTGTAAACATGCGTTTGTGGTAATCCAAAACATTTACGGCAGAAACTACAAAAAAAAAAAACAACAACACATTAACGAGGGTTTGGTTGGTATGTGCGTGTGTTTTGTAATAAGAAACAGTCGAGGGACATTGTAGTTGTTTTGGAAAGAAAACACTACACAGAAAAACTGATAAGAAATTAAAACAGAGACTGGATAAAGGTAAATAAAAATTAAACTAACATAGCAACATTGGAAATAAATATGATTTCAAAGGAAACCAGTGATGCTGAATTACAATTCCAAACTTAAAATAGTTAATAGGAAAATGTACGAACCCTACTAGTACTTTGTGCCAGTACTTTGAAATAAGCACGAACTGACCTGTAAAGTTGCATCTCTTCAGCTACCTGAGCCAATCATCATTAGGATATCCTGGATAACAACATTTTTGTCATGCCACGTGACTGTTAGGCTGGCAACTTCACGAGATAAACTTACTGGTCACCAAAATCCTCTTCACCATGGAGATAGTAGTGACAGTCTAGACTGGCACCAACTAGAAAGGTGACACAACCAAGGTAACTTTTGCAGGTGGTGAATTTTGAAGTCTCTGAAATTGAAACGATAGAAATATCTGAATAAATGTAAGAAAAGTTATACGAGCATATACATTTTATGATGATAAATACAACACCTTTAGAAATTTTTTGTTGTATGAAAAAATTATGATCATTGATTGCGTCACAAGAGTGTATTGCCAAAAAGGAGCAAGAGTAAAGACGCTTATACGGATTTTCTATTGTATGCAAAATGACGAATGTTGATTTGTGTCCCCAAATGGCCAACGAAGTCTCCAAACGAAATCGTGTAGATGCCTTTTATTTTGAATATTGGATTGATTTCCAAAATTTTCAGCGCAATCCGCACATACAGATAAAAATATTCCTTTACACGGTTTTGTTCTATGGAAAGTGTTGAATGTTAGTGTTATGTATTCCAAAAACTGTAGTGTGAATGTTTTGTTACCACGATTTATAACTTAATAAACTTTCCTACAATAAGGGCGACATTTCTTTTGGATTATATAAAATTTTCTATATAAAAAGACTTTTCATCTATAATGAAACTTATACTCAAACTTTCTCTTTTTACTTTTTTGTGTCTTATGGAACACAATTACAAAAAAAAAGTTCGTTCAGTATTATAACCTTTCAATGTGGGCAATAACTTCTTAGTTTGATAAATCAAGTTACAAAGAGACGATAAATTTCTACACTCCTCCAAAAAGTATGTTCTCCTAAAATCAAGTCTGCAAAACGAGTAAGAATATATATATACATATATTCATGATTTTTCAGAACCTTCGTTTGATAGTTCAAAGCGAGTAATACATGTACTATCAAATGAGAGTGCTACTACCTACGCATTGAGCCACCAAGAAAACCTGAAACTTCTCTCCTTTACTGGCTCTAGTCTAAGAAAATAATTTTATGTTTAAACGAACAAGCGTAACTAATAAACTCTTGGGACCATTCAAGCACGTGGATTAATTCATATCACGTGCATGGCTAATATATTTGTTTTGTTGAAAGTTTTATTCTAACTAAGTTACCGTTGTTAACAGGGCAGAGATTTCTATAAAATAAAAAAAATAAAAACTTTTAATTCAGATAAGCCACACTGAATTAGGGATCACTGTTGTTATCTGGCACGAATTATTTATATTTTCAGATTTTATTAGGCTTAATCCGGAAGACCCGGGCGGGGTGTCGATCTGACAAGAGATTAGTCATGGTTCACGACGCAGCTATAGTAAAGAGTGTTAACACTGATTCTAAATCTGCCTTCTTACGGTTTTGTACATGGAAATAGACAATGATTAAGTAGCAAGCTTTTTTTTACTATGTGATTAATTTTTATCTTCTCTCTTATTTTCTCATTGAGACGATCCCGTTTCACAAGCCATGCCCCCCCCCCCAGTGGCACAGCTGTACGTCTGCGGACTTCCAACGCTAGAAACCGGGTTTCGATACCAGTGGTGGGCAGAGCATAGATAGCCTATTGTGTTTAAACTACAAACAAACAAACCCTTTTCACGAGAATTCAACACAATATACTAATATAAAAATATTTTACCGCTCTGCTACTAGTTAGTATTCTGCTGACTTAAAACGCTGGAAACCAGGTTTCGGTACCCGTGGTGGGTACAACACAGATAGTCGATTTTCTATCTTTGTGCTTAACTGAAACAAACAATATAAATAATTATTTTGTTAAATAACTACATATAAATAATCGACGTTAATGACGTAGCTTGTGATACTTTTATTTTGCAGCGATTTAGTTTTATGTACTTAGTCTGAAAAATGAATAAATGAAATAAATAATACGACGACAATGTTAAGACGTAAACTTAAACACGCTTACAATTCCATTAGAGGAGACTATGCGGAGTTACATTGTTTGTAAGTTGGATTCGGATTAGTATTTAGAAGAGTTTCTGTAATTCTTGTAATTTCTAATAATGGAGTTAATTAAATAAAAACTCAACATGGATAGCGAATACCCTCTTCTTTTGAAATTGTAACTTTCTTGGATTTTATATCTTGGTGTTGGCTTCCTTTTTGGTCTTTAAGTCTATATTACAGAGCAAGAATGGGTTTTTTTAAGATAAGAAAAAAAATTAATACAATACTTAAAAGCTGACATTTCAGTAACAAATCGAAAAAGCATTCTACAAATCATTAACGTTAATAAGCCCTAAAATGAGTTTTTCATTTTACTCTATGTTCATATTAATAGTGCTTTAGTCAACATGAAAAAAAAAATGTTTGTAGTTAGGCTATCTGTGTTCTGCCCACCACGGGTATCGAAACCCGGTTTCTAGTGTTGTGAGTTTGCAGAAATAAATACAATACCGGCACGCAAACGCATTAATCAAATGTTTACTTGGTTTATTATAATCTTGGTTTTTTCTAATACCAGTTGTGATATTGATAAATTATTATAAAATGCTGCAGAGCTAACTCAACCAAATTATAATTATTTTAATGTTTTGATGTATAGAAAGAGCGATACAAATGATGCAAACTGCGTAAGCATGCACTGTATGTGTTCGAGACCTTTTTATCAGAGATCAACTCAGAAGTGTTTCGTGATCTCTCACACATTTTATTCTTGCCGTGATCTAAATCTTTTATTTCCACTTCAGTTAAACACTAAAATAGAGTCTCCAGTTAATACGGATTACTATACTTCAGAGCATCAAGACTTTTGTTAGTTTGTTCAGCGATTTATCATTGTATTATGATTATGAGACGCATTTTAGAACAGAATAATATTTTCATACCCCTGCTTTGCTATGTAAGAGGCCTAAATGTTTAGTTTACAATGTGTCAGATCTTTTTGATCACTCCAGAAATTCGTTTAAGAAACACTAATATAAAACTCTGATTTCTGACGTTTGAAAATTTGACCTCTGATCTTTATATCAAAATTTTGACCTTTCTTTATCTTCGCTATTGGTCATTATCTCGAGATGTCGATCTTCGTCTTGGACTTGACCTCTGATAATTAAAATAAATATTCATAAGCTCAGGTGATAAGCCAAAAGTCACTTTCTAAGAAACCAGTTCAAGACACCGATGTTAAAAACAATGTGAGTTAGGTATCAGGCAAAGACATTTGCGCTCAAAACTTGGTCTGTTTACTCAGTGTTACCAAAGAATTCATAGTTAGGACACATAGAAGAGCTACAATGACAGTAAGCAAGTAAATGAAGGATCTGACCTCCAGGTGGGTAACAGACGAAACTGAAGAACCGTGGGAGTGAAAGTAGTGAAGTGTGATGCATTGAAATAAATATAAACAACAACAACAAAAACTCGAAGAAGATATTTGGTTGATGAAAGCAGCACAAACAAACGTTACTTACAAATTACTCCGTGTAAATATTTTTGTGGTTGAAACTTAAGTCAGTGGAAAATAATACAAGTTAGTCAGTTCCACTTGTTTGAAAGTAAAGACTAGAAGTTTGCCAATAAAACAGAAGACGAACGTTTATACGCTGAGCCTAAGTACTCAACTTCCTTTCTAAAGTCTCCAGCATACTTGTTCGAACAAAGACAAAACAGTCACTCACATACAGGTTAGGCATTAAAGAAAAACACAACATTTCACAATACAAAAGTTACAAAAAACTCCCGATCCACCCCACAGCGTGAGATCTAAGTAAAGGTTGATGGCACTTATATATCCCTATTCAAATTCCGAAACAATGGCCAGAAAAGGTTAACTTCCTGGTTACTAAGGCTAAGCAATCTCATGAAAGTACAGAGTCAGTCTATAATAAGCGAAAATTTAGCATCTTCAACATTCCTCAGATGCTGGTTTGGGACGATCATTAGTAAGTTTTTAAGAGACAACTAAAGTCTAGACATATACAAAAATGTTGATACCTCATAGATGCGTAGGTTTATATTGTGAATTATACATTGCTAGAAATTCTGGCCGCAGTTACCGAAACAACAATAAGTATAAGGCTTGAATATTTCCTTTAATAAAGAGATAAGGATATTTCTTTAATTTTAACAGCACAAATCTCTGTAAATCCTGACTGTTGGAGCTGAGTCAGCAGTGGTTAAATACAAGACATAAATAGCTCCTATTATCAGCATCAACGTAGGAACTCTGAGATCTGATTGTTAAATAGCAATTAATTCTCAGTGCTAGGAAATGTGTTTAACACATGTATGTATGGATCTGTTGTAGAATACGACAATCAACGGTGTCAGATACTAAACGTTACTTTCTTAACAAGTGAATGTTACAAGTATTTGTAAATTGTTCTTAAAAGTCTCAATAAACTTTAGGAACTGTAACCTGGGTGCAATAAACACACGTGTGTAGCAAAAATAACTTGTACTATTGTAGGCATTTTGGATCGAATGAGGCTTACAAAAAAACACTAGTGTTAATATAAAAAAATCAAGTGTAACTTCAAAATATATCAACAACTTATGACCATATTTCCGGGGCTCAGATGCATAAGCCACATTCGCTTTTACGCAATTATAGGTTGCTTCCACACGACGTCAAACTTTTGCCGGGAATTCGGCGGTCTGTCGACGTGGGGACAACTTTCATAACAGAAAGCGTGCGTTGAGTATAAAATATCAGTAGTTTTAAAAAATGCCCGAGGACTGCTACGTTTTTGAATGTTCTAATAGGACATATAGAGATGTGAGTAAGAGTTTTTATCAAATACCAAACGAAATCCCTTAAAGACATGAAAAAAAAACTCACAAACATGGAATTGAGTGAAAAGAAACGTCCAAAATGACATGCAAATCTGTCGGTAACTACTAACTCTTATTTGTAAATGACTCATATAAGATTGATAAAATTACACTTTATCAAATTACTCTAGTTCACACTATAACAGTTGTTGCTTATTCAGTTTGATAATATAAATAGCGTTTCAAATTTCAACCACTACTATAACTGTCGTATCCCAGCCAGCTTGGTGAGCCCTGGTATTTGGCAAAAGGCCTGATCGGCATTGGATATAGCAGATATAATGTGGTTAACATATTGTTATAAGTATTTTCA